GCTAGTCACAATACTACTCTTATATTTACCCACATTTACCCATAATATATTTAATTTCAAATCCTCAACAATTCATAAAATTTTTGCAAAAATATTGGCATATGTAGAGTATGTAGAGAATTATGAAATATCAATTCATTATATGCACTTTTTTAATATATTGATTGTAAGTAGTCCAGGTGTAGTTATCGGAAAATTAATTATTATTACTGAATTGTGAAAACAATGACAATAATAATTATCTATTGAAATGCAAATGAAGTACGGTACAATTCTGTAAAAAATTTAAGGCAAAATATTTTGTTTTTCGAATTAATTGAAACTAATTACCTTTTATGCAATCTCTCATGATTTTTAATTGAATCCAAATATTTAATTTTTGGAGATAGTATAAGTAAAATATTATTCGGAATATTAATTATTTTCAATTTTATAACTATGAAATTTTACTATTTATTTATATAAAAATTATGTAGGTGAGCAAAGGAGGATATAGCAATTAAGTAAGAAAAATAAATTAAATATTAATCGGATGGTTTTCAGAAAGACCAACTTTGTAGACCAATAATTAAGCAAGAATGGCGAAAAAAGGGAAATTTCTCCCATTAATTTTTACTCATCTGGACTTATATTACCCTATGCTTTTGGAATACAATCGAGTGTCGGAAACTTTTTGTGTTTAACCAATTATTTAATGAATAAAAATATTATAGTTCTCATAAATGCAGTATACAAATTGTTATTGTTCCTGTATGCTTGATACCACCTGTCAAATGGGAAAGATGTGGTTAAATCGGCTCAGTATTGGACCATGATCAAAAACATACATTATTATGTCTATTATCTTCGACCATTATTTCTTAGTGTTACAAGCAATATGGAAAATTTATACTTTGCTTTGAACAATATTTCGAGTTCGTACGGGTATAATACAATGTACAAGATTATGACAAATTTTTCAATATAATTTGGGTATGACAAAAATTATTAAATTGAAAAGAAATTGAATTTAGAGAAGAACACCAAAAATAAATAAATAAATAAATATTTTTTTTATAGACAACAGGATTATTTTCAAAAGTCGCGCAAATATTAAATTTTAATTTTATATGAGAAAAAAATGAAAATTTTTCAAATCACAAAATATATAAGGTGACATTTTAAAAAGAATAAAAGAATAACGTATTTACAATACAAGCACCTGTAAAAAAATCCATAAAATTTTAATTTTGTCATATTATACATTTTTACATCGTAGCATACAAATGCAAACAAATTTATATAATATTATATAACTCTTATATAGAGTGTTTCCTCTATCTCTCATAATTTTGCCAATAAAACGTCTTAAATGTTTACAAATTTTCGAGAAATTTCGAGTGTTTTTAGAAAAAAATCAAAGAAAACGTGCAACTATAACCAGCTTTATCTCAAAAACTGTGGCTCAAATCTAATTGATTGTGAAACACAAAATAAAAAACAATCAATTTCCTGTAAGAGACAAGTCCAAATGGTTACTCTATATTGCATGATTCTGAAGTCATAAGCATTTATTTATTAACAGAAAAAATCTGATCCCATTTTTTTTAACAGGCTGTAGTTCGAAAACGAGTATATTTCCTCACGCCGCCGCCCTCCCTTACAATATTTTCCTGAGAATAGTTCAAACAAATATCTCTGAAGTTTGCTGCCTCCCTTATGCGAAACATCCTGTTGTATACATTTTATAATACTTATGTTGAGCATAAAAAATTATAACCCACGTAAATTCGTTAAAAAATTCATAATATTTGAAAATATTTTCTTCCTTTTTCGAAAAGGATACCTTAAATTTTTATTATTATAAAAAAAAAATATAAAAAAAATTAATAAAATTCATTTAAGTTTTATAAATTAAGTATAAGATTTTTTTGTTCCGAAAAGACTGAGTTAAAATTAAATTATTTTTAAAAAGATAATAAATTTTTTAATTATTTAAACTTTAATGAAATTTCACAAAAATATTAAAAATTTCATTTTTAAAAGATTAATAAATTAAAAATCAAAAAAAAAAATTTATTAAAATATTTTTTGTGAGTTGAAATTAATTTTTAATTCTCTATTTAATCTTTAATTTTATTATTGTTAGAATCGGATGTCAAAGGTCCGATATTGAAAAGGAATGATTTATTGACTATTTGGGATTAAGTATTTGGGTAATTAAAATATTTATGAGTTTTTTTTTTTGGGAAAATTAATTATGGGCCCCTATAATAAAAATTGATGATTAAATAAGATTTTTATGTGCTTTATTAATTGTGATGTGAAAATCTTACGATATTCCGGATGGTTTCAGTTTATGCGTTAGGATGTGTTCTACAGAAAAGGGTAATAAAAATTTTGCGTTAAAAAACTTTACTTGCCTTGAATATTACGCATAAATTCCGTAAATATTTAGAATCACCAAAAGGCATAACAACAACAACCACCTCAAACGTTTAAATCCGGAAACCCAAATGTATTGCTTATTATAGAGCAACTTGAAATCAGTAAAATTTAAATTTGCCGTTGATTATAAAATTGAACAAAATGTCGCCGCCAAGAACGTTGATATTAACTTTCATGCATAAGAGCAATCACCGAATTGCATATGCTTACTTTAAAAATATATTAGTGACATCTGGATGTGAAAAGCTAAGGTAGATCTATCTGTCATTTATATCGATATTAAGTTAAATGTCATTAGAACAAATAGAGTGAGCCTTGAGCCTTCCGCGATTTTTCGAGACAATCTATACCCGAGATTCCCAAGCAGTCCTATTTGTATTTCCCAATAAATTATTGGATGAAATAAAAACACCACCATTTCACAATCACATAAAAATAATCCGCAACAAAAAGATACCTTATACATACTCATATAATAAGTATTGCCCAAATTTCTCATGTATTTGCATTTTATGGAGACCTATACTCAAAAAAATTTATTTATAGTATTCTGTTTTATGCCTGTTGCCTTTCTAGAAGCATATGGCCGTGCTTTTTTGATAAACGGAAATAAAACAAAGAAATTCATATTTAAATTTTAAGGTGTTGAGCCGCGCAGTTGGTAGCGCAACAGTTTAATAACCTTAAGATTGATTCAGTTAAATTCAGTTCGATGTCGATATTATACACATTATTGTATTATATTTTTTAATTCCTACTTGATAAGTGTTCCATTAAGAATTAGAACTGAAGCTAATTTATTATTTACAAGGTGTAGTACAAATAACTTCAACTCATTTTAGTATCACTCCCTTCTTTATCGTCGAAATTATTGTATTCATAGCCAAACATATGGCAATTCATTTTTATTTTAAATAATTTTAAGGGTTATTCATTGATCCGATTTGGTTATTTTACTGAACCTATGTGTATATTTTGTATAATACTTCCATATATGAGATAATTTAATATTCTATTTAAACTAAAAGAAAGTTAAAATACTCTTTAAAAAAAATTATACTTTATGCACAATGGTTCTCCATTATAGGACACTATTGAAATAAATTATGAATAAGATTGGTTATTGGAAAAGATTTTCCATTTCTTAATGAATTTTCTATACACAGTCACATACATAGTCGTATTTCATTTTCCATTGAATAAAATATGATAGTTAAATCTATAAATTTAATGGACTTATAATGAAAGATATTCAAAAAATATAAAAAGAAAATAATATTTATTCTAAAGAGAATAATATATTAGAAGGAAGAAAAAAAAATAATATTTATTTTATATAAAAGGACATTTTTAAGAACATCCGATTTAATGATTATTTAAAATAAAAGGGCAAAATATTTTTATAGGAAAAGATTTTTTATTTTTCTTTCTATAGTAAAAATTCTTTTCGGTAAAATCATTTGAAATTAATTGGTAAAATTTTGATTATTTTTCGAAATGAGAATATAAAATTAAACAAGGTTACGGCTCCTTTTATAGAAACCAGTGGCTTAAAAACAGGAAAAGAATTGAATAAAGGCAAGTATTATAGTCAGGCTTTAAGGAATTTTATATAGATTCCGGTTTTTATCAAACGAAATCAAATTAAAAATTCTTAATTTTATTCAAAAGTTCTCTTAAATATTGCACTCCCAATTCATTGGACACTATATATGAAGCAGTAGTGTCTTAAAACTAAACACGACAATATTTTTACCGTTACTGTAATTACAATTATTCTAAATTTCTAATACTCTTGGGACTACATTAAGTAAATCCTATGAAATAATTTTAAATTTTTTTTTTTTAGATTATTCGACAAAATGTGGTCGAATGCATTGAAAGAAATTGCGGCATTCAAATATTTAAGTGTCTACGTTACGTATTGTCAATACAAGTGTAAGAAGTCAACAGAATATATTTAGTGCAAAACAAACTGTTCATGCCATAGATAGTGGGATACCAAACTGTGAAACGTAATTTTAAAGAACTGAAGATATTATTGCGACTTTTAACTTCATTTCAAAAAAAAAGTATGAACTGTCCAATATTTTCGGTTAAATATGAAATGATTATGGCAGGCTACAGAATATAAAATACAACCATAAACTTTAAATATTAATTAAGAAAAAGTATCGGAATTCGTATACAATAAATCACAAAGGAGTTAGTGGCTTGGTCAATTAACATGAAATCCGAAAATTACGAGCATTAAGAATAACATTCAGCCATTTACAATATAGATGGTATAACAGAAAACGGTTCAAGAATATGATGGTCAGGGGTTTAATAGAAGTAGTTCTAAAAATAATTACCGTTACAAATTGACGAAGTTTAGCAATGCAAAGAATAGAATGAAAAAGGCTTATATTGCAGAAGCAATCAAGGCTTGTAATAACTCATATTTTAAACAATATTTTTTAATTATTTTAAAATAAAATTATTTAATTAATTATTTAATAATTTATTATTAAAACGATAAAATCAAAATGTAATTAATAATTAAAAAAATTTTTTTATAAAATCATCATCACCTTTTATTGTGTTTTGTACACAATATTTTCCATTACCAGTAAAATATTTTTATGGTCATTAAATTTTGAAATAATTTTTCTTTTTTCTTAATTATTATTATCAATAATTAATAATTAATATACACTCATATAGTTGTTAATTAATATTATTTTTCATTTATAAATTCAAATTAAAATATTTTATATTTATTAATTGAATATTTTTAAAATTAAATAATATTTTTTTCAAATTATTCTTAATTTTATCATTATTATATACTAATAAAAATTAAATAATTAATTTTAATTAATTATAATTAAAATAAATGTTAAAAATTAAATATAAATTTCAATAATAATTATTTTAATTTAATATTTTATTAAAATTAATAAAATTTTGTCATTTAATTTTTAAATATTAATTGTAAAATAAATTTAAAATAATTTTTCATGAATTTATTTTTTAAATTAATAATTAATTATTAAATTTATTTTCTTTTCAAATAACAAAAATTTTGAAATATAATTAAAAAATATTTGCATTTTTAAAGTAAATTTTTTCTTTAAATTTAAATTTTGTCACTTTAAAATTTTATTTTTAAATATTTTCACAATATTTTGTATATTTAGACAATAATATTTTTTATATAATAATTAATTATTAAAATTTTTATTTCTTTAATAAAATTTGTGAATAAAATTTTTTGTAATTTAATTTCAATTAATTCTAAATATATTAAGAATTTGAAATTTTTTGAAGATTTTTGGTCCAACTAAATTAGAATGTTTGTTTGTTATATACACCATATAACAATTTTATTATTAATTAATAATTAATATAATAATTAATAATTTTATAAATTTTTAATAAATAATTTTAATAATATAATAATTATATTTATTACACTCTAATATTTATTTATTTTAATTGAAAAATTAAAAATTTCTTTTTTTTTTTTGTGAAATTTTGATTTTATATTATAGTAATATTATTGTACTTTTATATTATAGTTATTATTTGGTATAGTAGCTGTTGTACTACTAATAAATTTACTACAATATACTTTTCAGAGAGAGGGAGAGTGTATACTAATATACGGTATACCTTTTAATACGGTATACTTTTTAAGAGAGAGAGATAGGTTGTTGTTGTAATAGTACAAGTATAAAGAATCAAATATTTTTGTATAACAAATTAATTTTTTTATTCAATGTTCTTATATTATTATATATTTTAGTATTTAATAATTATTTTGGAATAATAATTATAATATTAATTGTTATTTTTAAAACAATTAATTCATTACATTTATTTTTAGATTTTTCATTCATATTTGTATTTCATTTATGTGCCAATATTAAATTTTTCACTTTTCTTTTTCTCTTAAATTTATTTTAATTATTAAATTAAATTGTTATATGTATAATAATTTTGATTTTATATTATTATATATAGGAATAATAGTACTTTTATATATTTTATTTAGTTAGTATAACTGTTGTACTAATAATAATATAATACGGTATACTTTTGGAAAGAACGTTTATTTTAATGCTTTATATTATTTTAATGCTTTATATTAATTAATACATAATATGTATAACAGTTACTGAGAACAATTTATTATATACTGAGTAAATATTAAACAAATTACTAAAAATTAATTAATTAATTTAAAGGTAAATAATTAAGAAATGAAATTTTTAATAAAATTTTTAATTGTTCAAATTTTGATTTATTGTTTTTTTTTTTCTATTTATTTTTGATGTTAAACGTCATTTACACTCTTTGTTTTTAAAAAATACTAATTTTTAATAAGAGAATTTCGGTATATTTTCTCAATTATGAAGTAAAAATTATAATAAAAATTTAATTTAATTTAAATATTTTTTTTTAATTTTATTTCTCTTTCTCTTTCATATTATATTTGCAAATGTAGACTTTGCTCTGTAAAAATTAGTGTTTAGAATAATAATAAAAATATAAATTAATTACAATTAAATAATTATGTAAATTTTTTTTTTTTCAAAAATATTCATCGCATATTTAAAATAAAATATTTCAAATTAAAATGCAATTTTCTTTATTACTTTATTTATATTATAAAAAAATATATATATATAATTGTTATAAATAATTTTAATTTTAAAATATTTTCGGTATATAGGATTATTTAGAGTATATATACCATATATAATGAAAAAATACCTAGTATTAATTCTCTTTTATTTGATATATTACATTATGTATTATATATATATGTACTCATATTGTATATATGATACTATATATTGTATATATACTATAAGTATATATACTATATACAAAAATTTTTTTTTCCTTTATAGTATTCCTTAGATACTCAATATTATGTATATTAGGCAGGTAAGTATTATTTTTGTATAAAGGTACAAGTGTTATAATGTATATGCATGTAATATATATAAAGAGAATTAAATGTTATAAAATATTAAAAAAAAAATTTACAGTTCTGAAATTTATTTTGTATTTTAAAATATTGTTAATTATTAAAAAAAAAAATATTATACGTATGCGTGTATGTATGAATATTATTAAAATATATAATAGAATCAAAATTTGTAAATTATTTTAGAATACAAAATTTTTTTTAAAAAATTTGAAATTTATTTACATAATGTACATAATATATGTATATATATATATAAGGAATAAATTTAAGCACCATGAAATAGTATGAATATATGTATATATGCACATAACCTGGTATACATATGTGAAATACTCGTAATATGAAAATTCATTTTTGAAATTAATATTTTAATTTTTTTTATTAAAAAAAAAATTCGATTATATTGTGAATTAAAAAATTATATTTTTGTAATAAGCATACAAAATTCAAAAATATTTAATAAAAATTCAAAAAAAGTATATATATATTTGTGAAATTTAAATTCGGTTTTGAGATATATGAATAGTATTTATATATAATATGTATATATAATAATGATTTAAATGTCAATATTATATATAACATATTATTTTAATGTTACATATTCTAATATATTTAAAATAATTCCTTAAAAAATGTATATATAATATATATTTTATGAATTGCATTAAAAAAAATTAAAATTTATTCCCGAAAATTATTATGTATATATATATTTATTAAAAATAAATATTTATTAAAGTTTTCAAATTTTTGAATATTTTATAATATATACATAAATGTGAGTATATAATATTATTATATAACAGATAAGAATATATAATTGCAAATAAATATTATATACTCGAATTTGGAGTATTATTTATATATTATAATAATAATTTTAATTAAATATAAAATTTTATAAAATAATATTGAATTGTTCTTGTAATGCTAATAATAATTTTAATTTTAAATAATTTTTAAAACATCACAATTTTTTTCTCTTCAATTATTTTAATTTTAAATTTTTTTTTTAAATATTACTGTTATTTCATGAGTAAATAACTGTTTAATTAGGGTAATGACTTTTTTTCCCTTCTTTTTCCTTTTTTTTTTATTTTTTTCTAATTTACTGTTATTTTTTTAAATTATTTTATTTTCTCTTTTACAATTCTGTTTTCCTTCTCCTTGAATCCTAAATAATGATATATATGATGATATAAATGATATATATATATATATATATATATCATTTATATCATCATATAAATGATATATATATATATATATATATATATATCATTTATATCATCATATATATCATTTTTTTTATAATATTTTTTTATTAATACCTTCGTTTTTTTTTTTATTTTATTTCATTTTATTTAAATAATTTATTTAAAATATTTTTTTAATTTTAAATATTATACTCTTGTTATAATTTATTTATACATATATGTACATACATATACATATAATGTATGAATGTGTATAAATTAAACAATTTTAATTTATTTTTATATTTTCTATATTTATATATGTATGTAGCGCAACGTTCAAATTAAAGAAATTTTTTTTCTCTATATATAAAAAAAAAAAAATTTATTAATTTTTTTATATTTTTCCGAATCAGTGAATTGAACCACTTTGAAAAGACGGCGAAATTGTACTGGTCGTGAATTGATTTGGAAAAAAATTTTATTTAAAAAAACAAAAAAAAAAAAAATAATATTAAAAATTTGTAACAAAATTTTTGTTTTGTTCTTTTTGATTATTTTTTAAAAAGCTCCAATTTATTTTGTGAGAGTATTTAAAAAAAAAAAAAATTGAGTATTAAAAAATTTTTAGTTTATTTTTTTTTTTTTTTGTTGATATTAAAAACAAATACAATAAAAATATTTTTTTATCAGTAAATTTTAACAATAGCGAAATTAGACAACAACAACAATATTAATAATAAGAGAAGAAACAGTAATAAAAAAGTTTAAAACTCTGAGAAAATATTTGAGTGCTTTTAAAATTAAAAAATTTCCTGCTTAGCTTTTCATTTCATACAAATTTTTGTTTCTTTTCTCTCTCTCTCTTATAACTACTCGTATCTCTCCGTTCACAGAAGAAGAGAAATCTGATGAAAAATTTGTAGTTTTTTGTATATAGTTTTCTTTATTGTGGAAAAATTTATGAAATTTTCTCTTTTATTTCCTGCCATACCAGCTGAGCTGAATGTATTTTAATAAATTGTAATGTTTGTTGTTGAATTGTTGAAAAGAGATTTATCAAAAAAAAAAAATTAAAAATATTATTAACAAAACAAACTAATTTTTTTTTTCAATTTGTTCTTGATGATAGCAAGTAATAAAATATTATATTGTATGTAGGTATGTTGGTATATAGAAAAATCACTGACCTTAGAAAAGATGAATTTTTATTGGAAAGTCTCCAATAAAAATTAAGACAAACAAAAGAAAATATATGAAAGAAAATATTTTTTTTTTTTTAAATTTCTTTGATAGTAATAAAAGAAAAAGTATAAGAAAATTAAATAAAATTAATTGTTTAAAAAAAAAAAAATTAATGAAATTTTATTTTCAATTTAAAATATTTGCGATATTATAAAACTACAGTGGGTAATTGTAAAAGTTTGAGATTTTAAATAATATAGAAGTGAGTACTTGAAATCTAGTTAGAATTTTCAATACAGCAAA